CTTGATGAGTATATAAAACAAAAGGCCAACTAGAATTAAATATATTGCTTAACGTTTACAAAAAACTATACCAATTTTTTAATAATTTTTTAAATATCAATCTGAATTAGATTTATAAAACAGCTTCATGGACTCTCAAATGATCAAAAGATTTCACGAATATAAGAGATTTATAGAAGTTGGGGACACTGTCTTGGTTTATATGGTACACTTATTGTCTCTTTTAATTTAAAATTATAGCATTTAATTTTTTATTTATTGTACTATAAAACAGAATCGAGATTCAATAGTTCCAATTATAATCGATCCTGATCAATGTCTAAAAAACAAGTTTGGCGAATTTCCTCATTCGAAAATGATCGGTCTTGAGTATGGCTCTCAGGTAATAAAACATACCATATTATCCTTTTTACAAGTTGGCTTATTTATATCATATTTAATCCTTAGATCGAGTCAAATAGAGCTAATGGATATGTTCATTTGCTACATCCGACACCCGAGCTATGGACTAGTGCTGTACCGCATCGCACTCAAATATTGTATTTGCCAGACATATCTATGATTTCTTTAAAACTTAATTTAAAACCAGGGAGCGTAGTTGTAGAATCTGGTAAATATGACATTTTGTTAAAATAGTATTTATCTATTATGTTTTTTAGCTTTGCTAAAATAAATCATTAGGAACCGGCAGCGGTGCTTTTTCTCATGCTATTTTAAGAAGTATAGCAAACTCAGGACACTTATACACTTTTGAATATCATGAACAGCGTGCTGAAAAAGCCAAAGAAGAATTTAGAGTACACAATCTTACCGATATGGTTACTGTTTTCCATAGAGATGTCTGCAAAGAAGGCTTTAATTTGGAAAATGTTGCTGATGCTGGTATAAATCAAAAAATAATAATTTTGAATATTAATATTAATTACATTTGCTTATAATATATAAACTTTTATAACTGTTATATTAGTTTTTTTGGATCTTCCTGCACCCTGGGAGGCTATACCATCCGCAGTAAAAGCCTTGAAAAAATCAATTGCTGGGAAAATATGCACTTTCAGCCCATGTATAGAACAAGTTCAAAGAACTGCAAATGCTCTACATGATAATTCATTTTTTGGTAATTTTCTGATTTTTAAATTTCATTATAATAACTCGAATTATTGCTAAATCGGTAATATTTTACTTATAATAGATATTCAAACATTTGAGTGCCTGGTTAGAGATTATGATACATTAAGTTTGCCTTTACCGGATATTCAAGACACTATTCGTGGTGATAGGGTTAAGTTTAAATTTGTTAAAGGCAAAAAACGCGCATTTAAAACTTATCAAACATCAAATGTAGAAAACGAAAATGGTGACAAAGACTTATCAAATTCTACATCAAACGCAATAGACGATAAAAATAACTCATCAGAAGAAGTAATCAAAAATCATATACCTAACATTCTATCAAGTAAACCAAGCTCTATCGCTAAAGGACATACAAGTTATTTGACTTTTGCATC